TCTTTGGTTGGATTTGTGGAAGACGAACAAACAGAAACATGGATTTTAGCACTGCAGTCTGCCTGTCTGTCCATCCAGGTTCTGTAGGGGTCAAGAATGTATGTGTCTGTCTGCCTGTCTCCCCATTCCCTTTTTTCTGCAGGCCGACTGTGTGTGTATGTGTGTCTTCTTAAATAACTGATACAGCTGCTCTTAGATTCAGGTCTATGGTAGGGAAGCACATGTAGGTTACTACTACTTTCTGTTTTCTGCAGTTCCAGCATAAAACCGAGGGACAAAAGAAACTTAGCAAGGGTGGACAGTGACTCAGATCCTTGAACAACTTTAAAAAATATTTTTCAACTTTTTGAAAAAGCCTATCAGTTTTTCAGTACTGCCCTTCACAGTAAACAAAGGATAACGAACAGATGTTATGTCTGCTTCTGATGGACTCTAACTCGGAGTCTGTGGGACAACAGAGTTATGACAAGGGCAGATAAGATTATTCGTTATCTTGCATAAATGAATTGTACTTTTCTCATGTAGATCCATTTTGTAAGAGAAGCTAGCAAAGGAAGAGGGACATTTTAGACGTATTTCGAAACTGAGTTGCTGGTGAGGCCACACATAGTTTTTAAAGTGTTCAGGGAAACAGGCAGTGTCTCATCTGTTGTTAATTAATGAAACTGGGGTCACTAGAGTACAAGAATGAATGAAAGGTCATTGAATGGAAAAACTGTCAATGAAGGAGGATGTCAAGAGAGTGAAACATTGTCATAGATTAAGATCAGGGAAAATGTACTCTTTGGCGGAGGTGGTGTTTTCTGGAAGTGTCAAGAGTCATAGTTTGGGACATTTCAAGCCAGACCAAGCACAGAAATGAATGCTCTAATTCCAACGAAACTTGTTAGATATTTTAAAGCTGTTCTGGGTTTGTGCTGGATATGAGTTCAACAGATTTCTAAAAAGAAGTTTCATTTTGTTTTATAATGTGTTATTGTTTTGTGTTGTGTTTTATCTTTGCTTCCTTTTTGTGTTGATGCTGACCAGTGGGCGGTCTCATTTATCTCTGTTCTCTGTCTTAGAATTTTCTAGTGCCACATTTGCACTTTTGAGGTCCACCGAAGTTAAGTGATTTCGGATCACTGTTCTTGTTAATGATCGGGCTGGACCTTGAACAGCCCAGGCTGACGGACTCAGTTTATGATCGTAGAATCAGAGTTGTATCCCCTCTGAAAGCTGTCCTGTGGAGAATGGTGTCGGAGCCCTCGAGGCGTAGCTTCAGCTTCCCTGCGGGTGTGTCATCAGTGAACAAAGCAGTGACCGTATTTACATTTCAGTTAGTTCCTCTGTACACTGGCCTACTGGCTTCACGTGAAGTGTATTTAAAGAGTCTCATATATCTGGTTATGTCAGACCTTCCCTTTCCTTGCCCTCATTGAAGTTTTGAACTGTAAATCTTTGGGAAAGCAAGGCTTTTCCATTAGTTTGGAGAAGGCCATGGCATTTTTAGCCTGGTGTTGAGACCTAGCAGGGCACTGCTGGTGAAGCCAGGACCCCATAGATAGCAGCAAGGCTGTGTCCGCATCCAAGGGAGACTTGAAGTTATTCGATGGTATTTACAGAAGGGGTGTAACACCACACTGAGAACACCGTCTCTAGAGCCAGCCTCGCTGGCCTCACATCCTGGCTCTGCCAGCTATTACACTGTTTGTCTCTGAGCCTCCATTTCCTCTTCTGTAAAATGGGAATAATAATAGTTCCTCTCTCACTGGATAGTTGAGCAGGTTGGCTAAATACTTGTAAAGTGCTTGAGAGTAATACTTCACACACAGTAAGCGTCCACTGTCTTCTAGTTACGATTACTTATCAATTGAAAATGGAATTCAAGTGGAGTTCTTTTGGATTGTGTCTGGTTTTTTGTTCTCTGAGTCCGTTTACCACCGATTCATTTTGTTGTATTTAAATGAGAAACCATCCTGTGAACTGTTTTTGAGCCAGAACAGAAAAAACACGAAAACGGTTCTTTAGAGAAACACCAGAACCAAGGAAGATTTAAAAACAAACAGAAACCCAAACCAGTTGCTGTCGAGTCAATTCCGACTCATGGCGACTTCATGTATAACAGAGTAGAGCTGCTCCATAGGGTTTTCTTGGATGTAATTGCCAGGCCTTTCTCACATGGTGTTGCTAGATGGGATTGAACCACCACCAACCTTTAGATCAGCAGTTGAATGCAAACCGTTGGCACCACACAGATAAACTCATGCAATTATATAATAAGCAAAACAGTGCCTGTTGTTATGTTGCGTAGGTATAAGATAGGCAGAGAATGATGACACTCTTCAACATTTATTGCTACAAGAACTATGTTGGGAAAACCTCACTTTAAATAATTGTATTATCCAACCAGAGAAACTGAAAAGGAACAAATCACTAAAAGAAACAAATTTATAAATCCTGAAGAGTGGTACTCACTCATATACATAATACATATACTGATTTTGGCTGGCCCCTTTTTTTGAGATTGTTTCAGAGTTTTGGGATTGTCTCAGAGTCGTAGGAATTCTAATCTCTCTTTCAGTAGCTGCAATGGCACTAGTATAGCATTTCCTTAAGCAATCGATAAATTTGAGGGGGAGAAAAGGGATGTGGACTTTCATAGTCAAATAAGTTTAGGAGATGCTTTTCAGAGCCTTTGATATACTAATTCAGCTGTGACTCTCCTAGGGAGATAGGATATGTGATATTTTTCTTACTTTCTGGACCAATATCTCATCTGTCAAATTCTTGGAGAACGCTAGTGCTCTGGAGTACACTTTGGGAAATGTTCCTTAGAAGCATTGCTTTTTCCCTTTGTGTCTCTGGTGAGTAATCCCAATGAGGTGCAGCTAAACACTTAGCTGCAAGTCAAGAGTGGAAGAAGGCCTCCCAGACGAGGCTGGGTCTTGAATGTATGATCACTATAATGAAATAATAATTGCTGATACCTGTTGAGTGCTTTACCATGTGCTAGGCACAGATGCTTTAGACGTATTAACTAGTTTAATTCTCTCAACAACTGTATGAGGCAGGTGCAATCATTATCCTCATTTTATAGATGAGGAAACTCAGAGGGAGAGGGATTCAGTAACTTGCTAAAGATTAGACAGCTAGAAAGTGGTGGAGCCAGGATAGGAACTCAGGCACAAGAGCCTATGCTCTTAATTTCTCTGCTGTACAACCAGGGGGTTTTGTGTGTGTGGTATATGTGCTGTGGTATGTATGCGTGCATGCACGGGGTTGGGGTATTCCTGGATGAGAGGACAACACGGAAGTGTGAAATAACACTGCGTTTTGTGCAGCTGGAGGTCATGTTTGGAAACGGTAAGAAGTAAAACCACGTTCAGGTACAGATACTGGAGAGCCTCATCTATCCTACAAGAATTTGGGATTTATACAGTAGGACCCCCTATTCTGTCAGATTGCATGAAGAACTTTAGTAAGCATACAGTGCTTATGAGTAAAACTAGTGTAGACACCCTTACAGAGGCAGGTTGGGGGCTAGGAGCGCACACTTCTACACTGTGCAGATAGCACAGCTGTCACCGACTTCCTGTCATCATAGCTTGCTCTGTGGTGGAACCTGTACTGAGCAGAGACAGGAGACGCCAGAGTCCAGCTGAATTACACTTGAGATGAACATAGTACATAGGAGGTGTGTAACGGATGACTCCCCTCTTATCTCCCTTCACTTCTGCAGTTTTTGTGGGCATATTTTATATGCTTCTGTAAGTTGGGGAGAAAGCTAACAGAATGTAACTCAAGGAGATAGAGATAAATACTTAATGAGTATTAGGGTCTTGTTTAAGGTTTAATTAAAGAGATACAAATGGGGCCGCACTGTTTTATGAGAAGACTCAATCTGTTAACTGTGTGTGTGTGTGTGTTTAAAATTTAATGGTAATAAAATCACACAAATATTCCCTGTAATCCAATTCTCTTTGGTCCCTGAGTTTGGATTTAGTGAGCAGTGAGGGTTTGGATAACAAGGGATTTATCGGACAAATTATCAATATTTAGGTTCCTGAGTTTGGATTTGGATAGCAAGGAATACTTGGATTGGAAAACCCGTTTTTCTTTTCTCAAAGAAGTTGAAAATGCCTTTGTGGCTAGATAGATTTCTCTTCAGTCAGTGGTGGCAAGACTGTGACTTCATGAAAGTCATAGAACAGATCATCCTAAGGACTGGAAAAGACTGAGTTCTTTTAATTCTCAGTCTTGCCACAAGGCTTTCATGTACCCTAAGCAATTGGGGTCTGTCAGCACTTTCCATAATTACCACTGATTCCTGGGAAGACCCCGGGAGTCAGTGGTAATTATAGGAACCTTGGCTAACTGCCCCGGGGAATCCCAAGGAACTTGATAATAGAGAATATTGTAAGAGTAGGGGTAAGTATGTTGGTTATACCTTGGTGGGGGAGGGGTGGAGACCTGTATAGTAGGAAGAGTTAAAGTTAATTCTAGAAACAATTTTTAACTTGGTCAGTTTTACTTTGAAGAGGTAACTTCTGCCTCTCCCAGTTCACATTTTTTATATCCCCGTTTTGCTTTTGTGAATAATTGTCTCAGCTTGATTACTTGCGGCTGACTCTAGTGACTTTCAGTCCTCTTTGCATTTCCTCCTGGTTCCACAAAGAAAGAAAAGTGCACACAGGGCCTGGGAGCTGGGGAGCGGGGAGCAGTGTTACAGGGTATATGAAGACAGAGAGAGTGTTCGATAAAGAGAAGAATCATTTTAAGCGCCTTCATATCCCCATGGCAGTCCTGCAAGCCAGGACTCAATGTTGGATTACATGTCACATTTAGCAGTCAGCAGCTGGAGAAAGGAACACACAAGCCGTGGTATCCACTCGCATCTGTGGGATTTGGTTTTTCTTTTTGAAACAGTTTTGAGTTGAGTGGTTCACAGAAGGCAGATTTTATCTTTGTGCATGGCCTAATTTTATAGTATATTTGATGACTCCAATGTTTATCCTTAGGTGGGTTTGCTGAGTTCTCCCGTTGTTTCCCTGGCCTCTGTGAAGGAAAATCCACTTTAGTCCCTACCTGCATTTCTCAGCCCTGCCTACCTGTTGCCAACATTGGGCCAACCCGAATTCTTCCCAATCTTTATCTTGGCTGCCAGCGAGATGTCCTCAACAAGGTGGGTGCTTTGAAAATATCCTTCTTTGCAGGGTTTATTGTTAGCAGCTGGAGAAACCACTATTGCCCGTGAACTGTCACTTCAGACACACCCCAGCCCCAGAAAGAAGTACACCTTCTCAGCGTGACTCCACAGTTAATGGTTGCATCATATTTGAGAGTGTTATTTTGTTTGATGCTATTTACTGCTCACAGGAAACCTATTGTCATATTTGCTTGGTCCTCATAGGTCCACGGGACCTGGGATAGGACAGTTCTCATAAGTGGAGTCTTATTTTCTTAGGGTATTAATTGTTCAGTTATAATAGTTGGGTGCACTCAAGAAGTGTGTATACTTCTCTAGGCTAATATTTCCTGAATTATTTCATATTTAAAAAATGTATTTATTTGCGGCAGCTCACTAGAAAGGCCTGGATTGAAGAAGGTCCTCATGGTGTTTGCAGGGTTGGAGGAGGCAGTAATAAGCTGATGAGGACAAGGGCTAAAGTTATGAGCTGCAGGCCTCCTGTGCCTAAAGCTAGTTGGAGCAGTTGAGTTGAGAAAGAGGGAGGAGCATGGATTTTGCTAGAAAGAACGTGGGTCCTTCTGAACAAGATGTGCCCTAAAAGCAGAGGAACACATTAGATTCAGACATATAATAAATACTACAAGCTTAACAACAATAGTAGAGCTAAAATCTGTCTGACTCCACAGCTTATATGCTCTTAGCCAGCGGTGCTATGAAACAGTGCCTTTATTGCCTGAAAAAGGGAAGTGTCTCTGAAAACCTTTGATTTGCATCACCGTTGATGGAAGAAACAATCACAGATCTTAATTTACTAGTGCTGCTTTGCTATATGAAGGGCAGTACCTTAACGGTTTCTTGTTGAGTAACTTCTTTCCTGGAAAAATTGGACTGACTGTAAACTAAGCTTCTAGACTGGCTTCCTTTAGCATGTGGAAAGCAAGGCTTTCCAGGAGTTTAAAAAATACCCTGTCACTGGGCAGCAATGAGGCATTCCTTTTTTGTTCTTAAAACTCCTGCCTCTTCAAAATTTTACCTCAACACTATGTTGTTCATATGTCTCTGCTTATTGGGAGATCTGCCTATTTGAGATTTGATAGCTTATGCTTGTGCTCAGCCTTTCTGGCAGGGTCACAATGCCTTTGAGCATGTGATTATTATTCCTTTTCTTTTAGAGATAAGCAAACTATGTCACAGAAGGCAAAATTAATTTCCTCAAGTCACGTGCATCCCTGAGGCAGCGCTGGAGTTGCTTTATTTAATCCCCAGACTGGGGGGGGAGAGAGAAAATTCCTAGTTAAGGATGCTGTTCGGAATTACTCCAGTAAAACTTAACCAGTCAGCCAGCAGGTGATTCCACAAGTAACAGATCATTTTTGTTACTTTCAACATTAAATAAATGGGCACATTCATTTTGCTATACACGTTCTCCAGTTTCAACAAGAATGTTGGTTAACAACTGTATAAGAGCCCACAAAGTGACAGCAGTTAAGGAGTTGAGGATGGGAAAAAAGGGTGGTTGTCTATTTTGAATTGACTCCTAAACTAGAAAGACCCAGGGTATATACATAGATACATTGAGAAGAAACGTTAGTAGGGGGCAGAATGGGGGTATGGAGGCTCATGGGAAACAGCGCTTGGGCAAGAGCTCAGGGAGGGGTTACAGAAGACTTAACCAGTGGTTGGTCTAACCAGATGGTGAGAAAGAAGAAGGCACTGATAGACTGGACAGCTTTGAAAGTGGTGAACAGAAATTTATATTTGGCCTCTAGATTCATTTGTTGGCAAGAGCCTTAGTGCTGAAGAGGATTTTAGAGATCATTTAGTCAGCCTCCTTCGTTTGATAAATGAGGACCGATATTCCAGGAATGTTAAATGACTTCCTCAAGGTTACCCAGCTGATGAGTTTTAGAGCCAGATTTGCCTCTTCTTTCATAGATAGTATAAACTGACTGGCCTTCCTGCTCAACTCCCTGATTTAAACTTTCCAGGAGAAATAATATGCTTGAAGATACCCAGATATCCTTTTGAAGATACCCAAAGATGAAGATTTTGTACTCTGCCTAATAGTACATTTCTTTTTATTAAAATCCAGAAGCTGAAGTCTTTAAAAACAGCAACCACTGTTTTTTTTTTTTTTTTCTACAGAAGGTGCCACCGAAATAATGTTAAAAGCACGTGTCACAGAAGCTTTACAGGATCAAATATTTATTATTTAAAATGCTTGTTGTTGTTGTTGTGTGCTATGGAATTGATTCCAGCTCAAGGCGTAGAACTGCCCCATAGGTTTTCCTAGGCTGTGATCTTTACAGGAGCAGATCGCCAGGTCTTTTCCGTGGAGCCACTGGGTGGGTTCAAACCTCTGACCTTTCGATTAGCAGCTGAGTGCTTAACCATTTCATCACTGGGGCTCCTTATTTAAAATGCTAGGCTCTTTATGTTAATCGCATTTCACCCCCATAGTAGAATTAGGAGGTAGGTTGGTGCTGAGATGTTAAGTCGCTTGCCCAAGATCATGTAGCTAGGAAGTGGTTGACTTCACAGCTAGTCAGTGGCGGAGCTCATATTCAAACCCAGGCTGCTCTGAGTTCACGTCCTGTGTGTATGTAACACTGGAAATACCCATCTTCTGGAAAGTGGAACTCTTTAAAGCAGACTGTTATGAAGGACTGACAGATCAGAACATCTATTGGTTCACAACTGAGATTTTCTTTCCTTGTTCTTTCACAGCATGTTCTACACCAGCACTGTCCAATAGAAATACAAGCCACATACACAATTTAAAATTTTCCAGTAGCATTATTAAAAAAGTAAAAGAAACAGGTGAGATTAATTTGAATAACATTTTTTATTAAACCCAATAGATCTAAAATATAAGCATTTCAACATGTAATCAGTATAAAAGATTGTTGAGATATTTCACATTCTTTTTTTTTTTTTTTACACTAAGTCTTTGGAATCCTATGTGTATTTTAGACTTTGGCACAGCTCAGTTTAGCCAGGCCACACTTCACATGCTCAATAGCCACATGTGGCTTGTGGCCGCCATGTTGGACAGTGAAGGTCAGTGTTCTCAGCATGTATTAATTTCTACTTACGTTTCAAAGACATGGTTCTTCTGTAATAGTAGGTCATTGGTAGCAGAAAGAATGCCTTTATTTTCCTTTTTCCTTACAATTCTACTTTCGTTTTTCACAATCTGTTCTCTCATCCTCTAGTCTTTGTACTAGACTTGGAACAGGAACAGTTTATTGTACAAAAAGTAGTTTGCTCATGCCCAGTTCACATCAGAACTGAGTGGGATTTGAGTAAGAATCTCTAGTTACTATGTGAAAAGGCAAAGGTTCTTGATTGGTTTTCTCCCTTATCACCTAAAATTTCAAGTAGGGACTTTTCTATTGTTTCACACTTAAATACACAGAATGTGTGATGGAATTACCTATTGGGAGTAGTTACTAAGCCAGAACTGTACCTGAGGTGAACCAGTTCCTCTTCTTCACTAAAGCAGTTCTGCTGCTGCCCCCTCCTTTCTCCCTTTAACCCTTTCATGGACTGGGGTTATATATATATATGCCTGTGGTACATTTTTCCCACCCCTGGAGGTTTATTGGCAGGTATTGAAGCCACTTTAGTACATTCTGGTGTCATGGCGGATACTGGTGCAACTGCCTAAAAAACAAGGAAGTTGGTCTGCACCACATTTGAGTATTGAGAGCCATTTGTATGAGGGGATGCTTTCTGGCGGAGTAATCATGTGAAACTTTTTTTTTTTTTAATTGTGCTTTAGGTGAAAATGTATACCTAAAAGTTAATTTCTCATAGAAAAATTTATACACATACTGTTTTGTGACATTGGTTGCAGTCCCTACAATGTGACAGCACACTCCCCCTTTCCACCCCAGGTTGCCTGTGTCCATTCGACCAGTTCCTGTCCCTTCCTGCCTTCTCATCCTGTCTTCGGACAGGAGCTGCCCATTTGGTCTCGTGTATCTGATTTAACTAAGAAGCACACTTCTCGTGTGTATTATTTTTTGTTTTATAGTACTGTCTATTCTTTGTCCGAAGAGTGGGCTTTGGGAGTGGTGTCAGTTCTGGGTTAACAGAGCGTCTAGGGGTCATAGTTTCCAGAGTTCCTCCAGTCTCTGTCAGACCATTAAGTCGGGTCTTTTTATGTGAATTTGAGTTCTACACCACACTTTTCTCCCGCTCCATCTGGGACTCTCTGTTGTGTTCCCTGTCAGGGCGGTCATTGGTGGTAGCCGGGCACCATCTAGTTCTTCTGGTCTCAGGCTGGTAGCGTCTTTGGTTTATGTGGACCTTTAGTGTGTGAAACTTTTGTCTTTTGGTTTCTGTACAGTGAGATAAGGCTTGCAAGTATGCTTACACTATTTCCTTTGTGTTGTTGGGGAGGTACGGTTACTGGTGTTTGGAAATATTCAAGTAAATGAGTTATTTTTGGGGTGAAAACAGTTTGTGATGCACTTCCTGGGCCATGGTACCAATATGGGCCACAAGTGTAATGTGCTTCATGAACATGGTACCAGTATGGCCCAATCTGAATCAAACTGGTAACAATTATGTGTAGCAGGTGCAATGTTTATTAGTATTTTGTGTGCATTTTTGGAAGGTTGAGTAAGATGTTTTATGGCTCAGGTGTAACCAGGAAGTGTGATGTGCCATGGGACTGCTATGTCCTGTTTGTGTGATGTGCTTCATGGAATATGGGACCAATATGTCTCACTTGCAGTTGGCATCCCATTTTTTCAAATAATAAACCACCCACAGACAATGAATGATTCAGCATCCATTCCATTAGTGAAATAAAATGGCATCACCAAAAAATCCCACAGCATCACCAAAAAAAAAAAACATCATCCATGAAAGGGTTAAACAATCTGCTGTCAATATTCTTTGTATAGCTTCTTATGCTAATAAGCTAGATCCTGATTTTAGTCATTTTACAATGATTCATTCATTTATTTATTCAACAGATTATT